CCCCAAAACCCCAAAACCCCAAAACCCCAAAACCCCAAAACCCCAGATGAGTGGCTGGTTATTGAATATAATAGATTATTTGTTAAAGAATTGAGATAAAAATTATGACCATCAAAAGTGTAAGTATTAAACTGCAACTTGATTGGGCAATTTTATAACTCTCCAGTCCCAGACTCATCCTTTGGTTTAGATTACCATGGATAAAACTTATCCAGAAGATAGCAAGACTGAGGAAACTAAGCTCGCTCCAACTATGAAGACAGCAGGGGAATCAAAGAGAACTGTAAAAAAGGCAAGAAAACAGAGACAGAAGCCTCTTTGAGCAGTTTGTTATGAATATATTGAGCTCAGGCAAATAGTTCCTCTTAAATGTGGCCATATCTTTCATCCAATGTGCGTTAGAAGACACATCAGAGCCAAAGTTGATGCTAGATCACTACCAATTACATGCCTTGACACTGACTGTAGGGAGGAACTAGCATCTGCAGAGCTTGAATTTTTCTGCAACAATAGACTATATGAAAGATTAATAAAACTCCAAAAAGAGCTTCTAGTTCTGCAAAAGGACTTCTTTTGGACTGAGTGTCCCACTCAGGGATGTAAATTTACAGGTGAATGGAGCGGAGTCGAGGACGACTCTTTCATTTACTGTACAGATTGAAAGGTTTGGTACTGAGCTTCATGTAGAGTTGAGTTCCACTACTACAATAGCTGCAAGGAATACAGAGCTATTAATGGTTTACCTGAACCAGATTTTGGAAGCACTGGAGCTCGAACTTTCAAGCATCTGGTAGAAAACCATAATGGATTCCAGCAATGCACAAATTGTAAGAATATTGTTGAAAAGAGCGGAGGTTGTGACCATATCACATGTCTTTGTGGATATGAGTTCTGATATAAATGCGGAGGCAAGTACCGTAACTGTGACTGATAGCATTTCACCATTTCTTTGCCAAATTAGCCACTAATATTATATTCCAATCATCTGACAGAATGCCGGGGTTTTGGGGTTTTGGGGTTTTGGGGTTTTGGGG